CACGACTCACCTTTGCCACACTGCTGGAAATACCGTATGCGAAAACCTATAAAAAAGTGCTTTTGGATTCAAAAAAACTATGTCGGCAAAAAATGCCGCCTGCTCTATGAGGAAATGCCCACTGTGGAACGTTTTCAAGAAAAGTATCCTCTTTTTTTTATTTTAAAGTGTATGCACCGGATAAGCTTGAAATTATGTGAAAACCTATAAGTCGAGTTGCTGAATACATGATGAAAATTTCAGCTCAATTATCGATTTCTTCATAGTTTTACGAACGAATTATGGGCAACTTTCGTCGAGACATTATAGCTTAGGTCAAGAACTATCTATCCGTGGAAAAAAAATATTGAGTTTTTATAGTGAAAAAACACATTTCAGGGTATTTTTGGCACTTTGTATCTCTATGTCCCGTATATCTGTTTTCTTTCAACGTGGCTGATATTGCTTCATATCCTACAATTAGTGTACAAGTGTGCAAAAACTGCGATTTATGAAGATATAACTCTTCTTATTTTTGCTTAATTTGATGCTTAAAAACTTGCCAGCAAAACTGCTTTTACGTGGACTGATCGTCTATCTGCGATTGTCTATCTTTTTTTCTATATTTGCAAATACACACACTTCTTACCAGTGGGACTAAATAATGGCCAACTTATTTGTAATTTTGTAATGGTTGAATTCACAATTGCTTCTGTACATGTACTCTGTGGATAATAATAAATTAAATTAGCTGGTATGCCATTTGTGATGTTCGTGAACGTTGTTTGATTCAATGATGTATACATTAAATCTTGTGGACGAAATCGTTCTAATCGATAACTGTTTAATGAAGTACGACCGATTATATAAGTTATAAGAAATAAAAAACAAAGAAATATAAATGGAAATAATAATTCTATAATTAATTGACTCCATTTACGAATAGTTAATAAATAAGTACGATGAAATAATGTGGAAAAATCATTACAAAATCGTTGCAGTGATGCTACTAATGACTGTAGTAACATCTTTCTAAAAGGCAGGATAAATTTGATAAGAAAATAGTACAAACAGTAGCAGTAGTAGATTGTCTATTGTAAAGATATAAGATATATCTTCGTATTTAACACATGGGCAGCCAACGTGTTAAACAACAATTTCATACATAGATCTCTACAACTACAAAAGAAACTTTGATTTTTGGTGGTGTACGAAATGTGAATGGGTGAACATTACTAAATAAATTTACTTATATAACTTAGGTTAAGAAGTATAGTTATATAATGCGATAGAAGAGAAAACCAGGGTACAAAACAAAATGATAAAAATAAATTACCTTTTCTATTTGTTTCTACTTCAAAGAACATATAAAAGAATACTACTATTTTTTCAATATCGTTCTGTCACTCACTACACGGAGAAAAATAGCTATGTCTATGTCACAAAGAACGAGAAAAAGAAATGACATTTCACGGAATATTATATAACATGTGTTGTTGTTTTGTACTCTCATGAGCCTGGTGGGTTCGAATTTTCTTAGATTCAGGCTCGTCACTATTTCGTCGTTGATTTCGATTAGTACCCGATATTATTTTCGGAGCGACACCAACGTGATCTACACCCAAAATGTAATATATCCAAAGAAGTGTGACTCAAAAAAGAAAAAATGAAAGATGCTTGTTCAACACTTCAGTAGTCTGACGCTGTCTTTACTATTCTATTCGGCTTGTCCAGCTAAGCGGACAAGCCAGCGGCCTTCTATTTTCGCTCATTTTCAAAAGATTATGGCAATAAAGCTACAAACTAATCTAAAAGTGCAACCAGATAATTAAGCAGATTAAACATTTCTCTACAAAATGAAAAGTGTCTCGGCTCTGAACGTTGATTCCTAATGAAAATACAACTGTTGTACAAACAGCTCAAGAAATCGATTTGTGGACTGTCTGAAAAACGTGTCTAAAAGAGCGAAGACGAGCTGGCGAAAATTGAATAAGTATACCACTTTGTAGAAAATTGTTTGCTGTACAGGATGTGTTCGAAACTATGCTAATTAATCGGTATTAATTAAAGAAAAGCCAGAAAAACCGTGATGCTGTGACACTTCTGATCGTTTTTCAGATAGCCCCAAAATCGATTTCATGAGCTGTTTGTACAGCAGATTAGTTTGTAGCTTTATTGCAATAATCTTTTGAAAATGAGCGAAAAAAGAGGGTCGTTAGCTGAAGAGGCCGAATATGATAGTAAAGACAGCATCAGAGCACGAAGTATCGAACAGACAACTTTCATTTTTAAAAGAACATGGTTCGATGTAGAAAACGATGCAGTCAGATATGTGGATTTTTGCAGAAATATGCAGATGGTCCAAAATAAAAAACGCTTGAACTATTGACAGCTACTATGTGTGTAGTACGTTCCTTTTCTCAAGTATATACATCAAGAATGTTCTTTTTGTGTGAGCGTGTAGCTACTGTCGATCATGAAAAACAAAACGAAGAAGCGAGATTCAGTTCTCTTCTTAAATTTTGGCTAGTTACTTCTCTGCTATAACCTGAGCTGCCATCTTCAACCGATTTAAATGCCTGCCACCGGACAGGTGATTGCATTATCATTTGTAGGAAACTTCAAAACGTTATAATTGTTCGGGAAAACATTGTGGAGAGTTGCGCAACCTCTCATCAAACGAAGATTCGAAGGTCTTCGAAAATGGATTCAAGCAAACTCCTGAAAAGTTTTCGTTCAGACTAGGATTGTGCAGTGTCAGTGTGAAACACTAAAATACTGGCACCGAAACCACCGACACTGACGCCAGTGCAGCACTGGTTCTACTCTCATCGGTGTTCACTGACACTGTGACTACACTGGCACTGACGTCACTGACTTATACTCTCGTCTGTTTTCACCGAAACTGATTATACTGACACTGCAACACTGAGACACTGATTCAATCAAAGTAAAGACGCTATGCGCTTCACCCTATAGTCATCAGGTAAAGTGTTGAAATGAGAACATATGGCCTCTCAAAAAGCTTAAATTTGATTGATCTATAATTTCGAATAATAACAGTAATATCATAGTAATTTGTCATTTCTAGTTTGTATGTAATATATATATATATATACTGTCTTTCAATCCATAGCGATTCTACTAGATATTAATATTCTTTCTTGATTGTGACATACTATATATAACTGCACTTTTTGTTTAAGCGTTTCAAAGTGCTACAAAATTACTTCCCCACCCAAAAATAATGAAATTTCGAATCGATTCAAGGACTTTATTTTGATTGAGCTTCAATCTAGAAAACAAATAATTGAAAAATTATGCTTTCATGGATTTAAATTAGAATTTTAACAAATACCACTGTTAAATTTCAAAAAGTAAAATAAAATATTTCAGTTTATCAATCATTTT